AACCCAATAGAGCATGCATTTTACCTGCTGAAGAGGAGACTGAAGGGAGTAACCCCCCAAAACAAACAACAGCTGAAAGAGGCTGCGGTGAAAGCCTGGAAAAGCATCACAAAAGAAGAATGCAAAAGTTTGGTGATGTCAATGGGTCACAGGCTTGATGCAGTTATTGAAAGCAAAGGATTTACAACTAAATATTAAGTGTCATTCACTTTAATCTATTTTAAGTTTATATGTTCCAATACTTTTGCTCACCTAAAAATTTTGTGTTCAATTACAAATAATGCTATCTTCTAAGTTGTGTATCAGATCCAGATGTAAATACCTGGAAATAAAAGCTGAAATGTTGATCTCTTGTCTCATATTCATCTTTTGATGTCAAACCCAAATGTTTTCAGTCGACAACAAAAGTAAACAAATTGGACTCACTGTTCCAATACTTTTGGAGGGCACTGTATGTGGACACACGGATCACGCCACACGGTGCATAACTGCAACGCCAGAGACTGATCACAATGCGGACTTCAGACTGGTAGGCCTGTATCACTTGCATTCATTCATGCTGTGTATGTTGGATTGAACGCAGTTTGATTGACAGTGCGTTTATTGGGGAGCGCTGCCTGTATGTGAAAGTCCGCTGAGACATGCTGTCCTGCTCGTTGAGAGTGATTATCTGTGGTGTTTTCCAATACTTATGGATGTGAAACAAACGATCTGTGGAAAAAAAAATGAAAATCATGCCGGGTGTATTGTTGATTCACTGCGCAAATAGCTGAGTTGCTGAGCTTTAAAAGGCAATATGAGTGAAATAAATAAACGAGTGGAAAACAATGGGTCTGAAGCAGTGGATGCTAAACGAAGTGTCAAACTTACTGCAAAAGCCTTGGCAAATAAAATTGAAATTCTGCAACGGGAACGTAAAACACATGTGAATAAAATAAAAGGCTTAATACCTGCAATGAAAGAGCTCATGAAACGAAATGAAAGTGCACAAGAGTTGAAATCCCAGTTACAAACTCTCACTCAGCTCCTTGACACTGCTGTTAACCTGCATCAGACAATAATTCCACTGTTACCTGAGGATGAAAAAGTTACACAAAATGAATGGTTCTCAAGTATTGAAAATTACAGCAGTACATTCAGGGATGATGTGATTCAGTGGTTGGATGAAAAGGCACATGTTCCCGATCCTGTTGAAAATGATTTGGTTGCAGCAACAAAGGATGTGTGTCACTTTCATGATGCCTCACAGGCAGCAGCACAGGACACAGGCCCCATCACACTTCATGAAGGCTCACAGGATGATGTAAAACCAAGTGATAGCATATCAAATGTGCAAAGCAGACAATCTGCACAAAGTGCTGCAAGTGGAAAAAGCTCTGGAAGTGGAAAAAGGTCCTCTGTATCAAGCACCTCCTCTGCTCACATTAAGGCAGAAGCTGATTTAGCTGCATTGATGGCAAGACAAAAACTTTTACAGGACAAACATGCACTGGAGGAGGAAGAGCAGCAAATACGGAAACGTAAAGAAAGGCTCAAGTTGGATGAAGAAATTGCTGCACACTCGGCTAAAGTGAGTGTGCTAAGGGCTGCTAGCACATCTAGTTCTAAAAGCACTGTAACAGACCGGTCCAATGCAATGAATTCTTACCTTAAAAATGAACGAGGAAAAACAGCAAAGTTCAATATTGACGCCGCTCCTTTCATTCTTTGCAGGCTGGAAACACCTAAACAGCAATTGAAAATCATGGTCAGCGATCAGGTGACAAGGCCTAAAGCAGATAGGCTGACCCACGCTGCTCACTTTCAGCCTCCTACTTTAAAGCGCCACCTATCTGAGCCCAATCCTCAGTCCAGTGCTCATAATGATCAGACGCAACATGGAACCATTCTCAACACTGAAGGTTCATCAGGCAATGGGGAGCAAAGCAACGTTCTTGATATCATGAAAAGGCAAAATGAAATAACAACACTACTGATACAACAGCAGCAACGGTCATCCTTGCCCTAAAGAGATATTCAGGTCTTTGATGGTGACCCATTGCAGTATTATACATTCATGAGAGCATTTGAAAATGGTGTTGAAAGTAAGTCTGACAGTTATAGTGATTGCCTGTACTTCCTCGAGCAGTTCACTAGAGGTCGCCCAAGGGATCTTGTAAGAAGCTGCCAGAATATGGACCCAGAGAGGGGCTATGCTCAGGCTAAAGTCCTACTACAGGAACATTTTGGAGATGAACAAAAGATTGCAACTGCTTATATGGATAAGGCATTGTCATGGGCCCCAATTAAATCAGAGGATGTTAAGGCGCTCCAGGACTACAGCTTATTTCTCAGAGGCTGTTCAAATGCAATGAACGAAGTGCAGTACATGTTTGAAATGGATATGCCTGCTAATATGCTGACAATAGTAAAAAAAAAAAAAGCTGCCATACAAGCTAAGGGATCGATGGACGACAATTGCTTGTGAAATACAAGAGAGGCGTAGCCAAAGGGCTACATTCAATGATATTGTTCATTTAATTGACAGGCAAGCAAGGATTCTAACAGACCCAGTGTTCGGGGACATTCAAGATGCAACACCAGTATTAAGCAGAGGCATAAATCGAACCAGCTTAAAACCCAGATCTAGGCCAAAAGGAAGTAGTTTTGCTACAACTGTGACTACTGCAGAAAACAATAACACTACAACAGAAGGAAGGAGACCAGACACAATCTCATCAGTCAAGAAAATCTGTCTGTTTTGTGAGGGTGGACACACTTTGGAGTTTTGCCCTCAACTGGAGAAAAGGGCTCACACTGAAAAGGTCACCTTTTTAAGGGAAAAGGGAGTGTGCTTTGGCTGGTTGTGTATAGGACACATCAGCAAGGATTGTCGAAAGCGTCTCATGCAAAGTGTGCAGTTTGAAACACCCCACAATGCTTCACATCCACTTGAAGGAAAAGGAGCCAGTGACAGAAGGAGAACCAGGTGCTGCAGTGGGCTGTGCTCTGGTATCCAGTGGGCTTACTGGGGCTGGTGGTCATGATTGCAAGCTTCATATAGTTCCAGTACAGATTAAATCCAAGAAAAGTAATCACACAGTGGTTACTTATGACTTCTTGGATCAGGGTAGCATGGCTGTTTTCTGCACAGTTAACCTCATGAACAAGCTCAACCTCTCAGGAAAAAGGACACGAATCCTTTTATGGACAATGAGTCAAGAGAAGGTTGTCAATAGCTATGTGGTCACAGGACTGGAGGTGGCTGCTGATTGGAACAAACGTACCAAAGGCACTGGAACCACTACAGGTGATCCATAGTGTGGACGATGGACCCTATGCCATTAAGACTATTCTGGGCTGGACTGTCAATGGACCACTGGGAGGAGACAGTGGTGATGGAATGGATGTTATGACCATTAACAGAATCTCAGTCCTGAACTTGGAGGAGCTTTGGCAGCAGCAGTTCATAACAGATTTCCCAGAATGCAGCAGTGATGAACAACCTGGTCAGTCGAGAGAAGACCAAAGGTTCATGAAGCTGGTCCAGGATTCAGCCAGGCTTGTAGATGGCCATTACCAGGTTGCATTGCCTCTGAGGAAAAGTTGTGTGAACATGCCAAACAACAAGAAGGTTGCAGAGCAGCGTGCCCTGAACCTAAAGAGGAGGTTCAAAAGAGACTCATCATTTCAACAACAGTATACAGATTTTATGAATGACATGGTCACCAAGGGATATGCAGAGCAAGTACCTTCAGGTGAGCTGGCACGTAGTGATGGGAGACTGTGGTATATCCCGCACCATGGTGTTTACCACCCTCAGAAAGGAAAAATCTATGTGATTTTTGACTGTGCAGCCACTTTCCAGTCAACATCTCTCAATGCTCAACTGCTACAAGGGCCAGATCTCACTAGCTCACTGATTGGCGTCCTGGCCAGATTCAGAAAGGAACCGGTGGTGATGATGACATACATAGAATCTATGTTTCACCAAGTAAGGGTACCAAAGGAAGATGCTGACCTACTGAGGTTTCTCTGGTGGCCCAACGGTGATCTCACCCAAGACTTGGTGGACTTCAGAATGTTGGTACATCTTTTTGGTGTGACTTCCTCACCAAGTTGTGCTAACTTTGCACTGAGGAAATGTACTGAGGACAATGAAGAATAGTTCTGTCGAGAGACCATTGAGAAGCTTCTGCACTGCTTCTATGTGGACGATTGTCTGGTATCGACAGCCAGTGAGGAAGAAGCGGTGGTGCTTTATCATGACCTGGTCTCCATATGTTCCAAAGGAGGCTTTAAGCTGACAAAATGGATGAGCAACAGGCGTGCAGTGATGGCAGCAATTCCAGGAGACCAAAGAGCAAAGGGCATAAAGGATTTGGATCTGAACCACGACCTACTACCTGTGGAGAGAGTGCCTGGGGTGCAATGGTGCATTCAGTCTGATGCCTTCATGTTTAAGATCATGGTGCAGGACAGGCCTTTGACAAGAAGGGGGATCCTCTCTGTCATCAGTTCGATTTATGATCCCCTAGGAATCCTGAGTCCCGTTGTCCTCTCTGCTAAGATCATCTTGCAGGAGCTGTGCAGGCAGCAACTCGGCTGAGATGACCCCATTCCACCATCAGCTGCACAGGAATGGACAAACTGGTTAAAGGAGCTCCATCAGTTAGAGCACTTCCAGGTTGCTCGGTGCCTAAAGCCCCCAGGTTTTGGAGAAGTCACTGCAGTGCAATTACACCATTTTACAGATGCAAGTGAAAATGGTTATGGTGCAGTGACCTACCTACTCCTGCGGAATGCACACTCACGGGTGCATAGCAGCTTTGTCATGGGAAAATCCAGGGTGTCTCCTTTGAAGTCGGTCTCAATACCTCGCATGGAGCTTACAGCTGCTACCATGGCAAGCCGCTTGACACCTTCTGGAAAAGGGAGTTGCACATGTCATTAAAAGAATCAATATTTTGGACAGACAGCACCTCTGTACTAAATTGCATCAAGAACGAGATTTCAAGGTTCCATACCTTTGTTGCCAACAGGGTCTCAGAAATACTCAAAGTATCACAGCCATCTCAGTGGAGGTATGTAAACACCCTAAGCAATCCTGCAGATGTGGCCTCCAGAGGACTGAAGGCTGACGTGTTTCTGTGGAGTGAGACCTGGTTGTCAGGACCTGCATATCATTTGCAACCTGAACAGGACTGGCCTGTGAGTCCAGATTGTTTGGGCAAACTTCTGCCAAGCAATCCAGAAGTCAAGGTCAGTGTTGCGGTGAATGCAGCGCAGACTTCAGAGGATGTAGACGCACCCACTCGGCTAATCCGTCATTTTTCCTCTTGGACCCATTTGAGAAGGGCTGTGGCTTGGAATATCAGGCTAAAGAACTTGCTGCGGTGTCTCAGCCAGGAGGAAATGGTCTGACATAGCATCCACCCAGTCTGACTCAAGGCAACAACAAAGACCTTCCTCAGAGCAGGAAAATGGAGTGGTCAAAGACCTGGAATTGAGAGGTTTGCTCACAGTAGATGAGTTGCTGGATGCTGAAAAAGAAATCATCAGATTTTTCCTGATGAACTCTCCAGTCTACAGAGTGGCAGAAATGTGAAAAGGAATAGTCACATCTTCAAGCTCTCTCCTGTGCTGGAGGATGGTATCCTGAGGGTTGGTGGAAGATTAAGTACGGCGGCTCTACCTGAAGATGCGAGACACCCTGCAATACTGGCCAAAGAACTCCACATCTCAGACATTCTCCTAAGGCACATACACATACATTTGGACCTTTCGAGGTCAAGAGCCGAAGGAGCGTAGTAAAAAGATATGGAGTCATATTCACCTGTCTGGCAATACGAGCTATCCATATCGAAGTGGCTCCCTCTTTGGATACAGATTCCTTTATCAATGCACTACGACGATTCATGGCAAGGCGTGGCCAAGTCTGGGAAATACGGTCTGATAATGGGACGAACTTTATTGGAGGAGAACGTGAGCTGAGAGAGGCCATCAGAAGTTGGAATCAAGCTCAGATAAATGACGTTCTTCTTCAGTAGGAGATAAAGTGGGTTTTCAACCCTCCAGCTGGTTCGCACCATGGCGGCGCCTGGGAAAGGTTGATCAGATCTGTGCGGAAGGTCTTGAATTCCATCCTTAAAGTGCAAAATCTTGATGAGGAGGGACTGCACACTGTCCTCTGTGAGGTAGAAGCCATCATTAATGGTCGTCCAATCACCAAGGCCTCAACCGAACCTAATGATCTTGAAGCTTTAACACCTAATCATCTCTTGCTGTTGAAAACCTCCCCTTCCCTGCCACCAGGGGAATTTCAAAGAAATGACATCTACGCTCATCGACGCTGGAAGCAAGTCCAGTATATGTCCAATTTATTCTGGAAGCGATGGACCAAGGAATATTTACCACAGTTGCAGGAACGTCAGAAGTGGACCGGCATCAAGCGCAACTTTGTGGTAGGGGACATCGTACTTATTGTGGATGAGACAGCACCAAGGAACTAATGGGTTATGGGAAAAGTCATCCAAACGTTCCCAGACAGAAGAGGATTCGTGCGACGGTTGCTGATCAAGACCAAGACCAGCTCCTTGGAAAGGCCCATAACCAAAGTCTGTCTTCTACAGGAAGCAGAAGTCTGACCCCTCACTTCTGAGAAGATAGTTTTGCTTGGACAGTTATACTGACTTTACTGACTGACAGTGTGACGTGGTCAAGATTACTCCATGAAGCTGTGTGTTTGAACTTATGGACTTGACTAGACATGACTTGCATTCCAGGGAGAAGAGCACACTGATGAGCTATACTGATGGACTATAAACAAGGACAATTTTGGATTTCACGATCTCATGTTTCTTGTTTATTTGTTATAATGTAATTATTATATTGATAATAATTAGGGGCTGGGTTGTAGGTGCTATATGCTAAGGTGTTGATGTTTATGTTTGTGTTGACATCAGCTGTCAGTTGACACCTTTCACACGTCACGTGGGTGTGGTCAGGGAGCAGTGATTGAATGAATGGGCATATATTCACCTGTTCACCGCGGTGGCTGCATGGAGAGGGGGTGAATAGGGAGAGCGTATTTTTTGTTGACCGCTTAACGGAACTGAAAACTGGGTATTTGAACATCTTGTCATGCCTTGCCTTGCTTTGCCTGTTTGTTCACTGACCAAAATAAATACGGACACAGTCGGAAAACTCGGAAATGGCTTTGTCGTTTGTGTGGCGAGTCAGCAGTGCCATGCTCCCTCACTTAGCCTCTCAGTGACTTCGTCTTTTTGTCTTTTGTTTGGAGTCACTATAGCTGTAATGATTAAATAACGGCTTAAATAGAGCAAAATGTAAACTCTGAATTTTCTGTGAACATATGAACAATTAGGGGAATTAGGGGAGCAAATTCTTCGTCTATTTCACTATGGACAGTAAGGCTCAGCTTGGAGGTGGTGGGGTGGTGAGAGCAGAGTTTAGCTTTCTGTAGTTGATTCTTTTTTCTTCTTCTTTTTTTTCAGTTTTATTCTGAACAAGATTCAGTTTGTTTCACAGAACACTGGTGGACTTGCCACACTGGCACCCCCGTCTTTGCCTTCCCCACTCCCTTTACTGGGCTCAAGGATGCACACAGTGGGGTCTTCTACATTGACACCAGTGAAAATCCATCCATCTGATCAAGGGCAAAATGTACGACTTGTTAGTATTACAAAAAAAAAAGCATTATCTTTTTGTGATAGACCTTGTGCTCTGGTACACCTCTGGAATTTAACACCAGTGACAGCAGCATAAAAGCTGTGGATGAAGGTTACCAGACAGAAACCACTGTGTCCTACACATCATCATCGTCAGAAGAGGAAAATGGCAGAGACTTAGTCCAACCTGATGTCTCTGTTCAGATTTTGTCAGTTTTGGGAAAAGCATATTATATCTTAAACTTAAAGACCATGAATGTGAAAATCATAAATAGCACCACGTACTATGACAGTCAGAAGGCCTACTTGCACCCAGCTATTGAAAACATATGCCATCACCAGAGAACAAAGGTCTTGAGTTTTCCTTGAACAGGAAGATGGAAAGGAGACACACTTACTGGGTGATGACACCCCTGGGTTCAGTACCAAGTTCTGTCATTACTCCGTCATGCTCAGTGACACAATGACGGTGATAATTGACACAGAGGTCATGCAAGTAAATGTAAGATAAATAATAGCATCATTAGTAACAGTTAGAGTTGCTATTATGTAAAGCGATTACAAGAATGATTTAAACAAACTTATTTCTTTTAGGTCACAGCTCTGTTGCAATGGAGCCTCTACTTTTAAACAGGGCATGACAGAGATCCTGAATGAAGGTGTAGAATATGGAGGTGATGGCCACAGACTGCTTTGCATCTATCAGTAAAATCATGAAGACAGAATTTCCGGAGCTTTTTGTTTAGACAAGTATACAATTCGAGTCAAAAGTTTGAATACATTAACTCATTCAGGAGAATAGAAGGGTGTGTCCAACCTGTTCTGTAAAAGCAATGACAGAAATGTAATTCCTTATAGATGTTGAGTAAGGGGGAAAAAGGGATGTGAGGCAATGGTGTCACGGTCCAGCTGAGTGTGTGTTATGAGGCAGGCTAAAATTGTCTTTCACAGGTCATACACAAACAACATGTGGTTTTCCTGTGCAACATGCGTTGTTGATACAGGGGTAAGGGATTACAGGCTGTAACATTTCAACATTTTATATTTTGTTCATATAATCTTTGTTGTCTGAGAAAATGGACAACAGCACCAGTGTTATCATGCACTGCTAACTGCCGAGGAGGAAAAGAAAAAAGGATGTGGGTAAGGGAGAATTTGGCATTTCAACTTAAAATGGGTCTCCTGACAAAATATTACATGTAACTTCTCCCTTTTTCATTTTGCACTAATGTCCATTAACATGTCCATTATGTCTTAAGATATCAGAAAATACCCTGTTACCAGGTGCATTCTTAATGTCTTAAGATATTCAGAAGTGGGTGCCACCACTTCATCTGTTTCCAGGGGGAATCCCTACAAACATTTCAACAGAGAAAACAATTCCCCACTCAACCTATCTTGTATGGATTAAGGTTAAGAAATACTGATTGAATTGGGTTAAGGAAATAATGTCGAAAGGTGATGTTATTGACATCTGTATCTTTTGTGGGCTACTGGTTACTTATTGAGAAAAATGTAGCTTTTATACAATATCATTCTAGTCAGCTTATTCAGTTAATAATGTGGTGTGTTCTCCTAAAAGCCCACTAGATGGCAGTATTAGAGCACAAACACTATTAGTGTCCTTTGACAAACAGACTGTTGGAATCACTGTTTTCCTGAAAGAATTTCATATGTAGGCTAATTGAGACTGGATGACAACACACATAGGCCTACAGTCTATTGCTCACCTCCTGCTGGATATAAATGAGAACCTATAGGATGCAGATGTGGCTATGAGTGTAGCTGAGTGGAGCAGAGAGAAGAGCGCCATTTTAATCTGAGCGAGGAGTGCTCTTGAACCATATATTATTTTATTTATTATTCTTATTAGCTATAGAGACAGAGCGCAAAGCGTCATAATCTGAAAGCCACGCCCCAAAGGGGAAACGAGGACCACTTTCCCCTCACACTTTCCACCTCCGTTTCCAGCCTGTTGAGTTTTCCCTAAGTCCAAATGCTGAAAAGTTGCTGTGTGGTGGGCTTCATGGTCAATAAAAACCCAGAGCTTAGCTTTTATCAGCTGCCGAGCAGAAAAACGGAACCTTGTAGAGGACCAAAGTGGATACAGGCAATAAAACAAGAGGCTTCAACAGGTAAGAAATTGTGGGATCCTGACACTCGGTATGCCTATGTGTGCAGCTAACACTTTGTCAAACCCTCCAAATGTATTTTTTAGAGTAACAGTTTAACTGTATTTATGTATGTAAAGCTAAAGCATTCACAGTATGAATGCAACTTACAATTGTGCCCAGCGCTCCGCGATTCAAGCAGTCCATTCCAGCGGTCTGCTCTAGCACTTCTATCACTCTACCAGCATGTAGAGGCATGTCTCAAAACAACAACGTGTGCCGGTAGTAGGAGCAGGCTGACGGCTGAGCATACCGAAATACTCATCTTCTTAAAAAAGTATCTCCACATCATGTTTTTTCCAAGACTAGCAAGCTAAGGAGAAGGGACACTGAGGTAGACCGGCAATATTAAGCTTATCAATATACCGTTGCCTCTCTGGTAGGCATAGCGTGCTAAAATAAGCCTTTGCCATCTTATTATTAGCAAATTATTAACTAGCTATAGCTAATAATTTTAGCTAGCTAGCTAGCAATTCAGTTGTGGAAACCTGAAGGCTCGGCTGAGGAGGCAGAATGACAGCAAACGAGCGAAGAAGCAGAGGGGAAAGCGGGCCTCGTTTCCCCTTTGGGGGCATGGCTTTCAGATTATGACGCATTGCGCTCTGTCTCTATTGTCATAGCGCAACCTATTGACTAGGGATGTAACGATTACCGATATTACGGTAAATTTCGGTTAATTTTTACACGGTAAGAATGGCCGTTTATGTTTAAATTAATTGCATTATCACGGTGGATTAACAGGATATGTAATAACAGCCTCATTCAAGTCTCGCGATGCAGGCACGGCGTGAATGCGTAGCATGTGTAAACACAAAGAATTAAAACATGGCGGAAGCGGCACTCAGGACATTTTCCCCCCAACTACACGCACAGAGTCTGAGGTCTGGGCGTACTTTGGGTTTCTGAAGAATGCCGAGGGACAGCTGGTGGAGGACAACTATCCTGTGTGCAGAACATGCAGAAAGAAAGTTGCTGCGAAGGGTAGCAACACTACAGATCTGCTGCTCATCTCCATGACCATCATCCACAGCTTTACAGCCAGCAAGTTATGCTGTGCAAACGTCAGTTACTGTGTGAGGGATTTCGGTTTTACTAAGATTGTCATAATGTGTAACTCTCGACGTATGCATTTGAGCCGTACCTGTCCTCCTAAACGGTGACTAGGCTTTCCATTTTCGTTTAAGACACTTAGGAGCTAATACTGGTTTATTAGCTAATATTATTAGCAGCTATGTTGCTAACGTTAAGTGTTTCAAAACGAAATGGAGCTGAAAACACTGAGCGGACCCAACAGAATATAAACCGACGTAACGTAACGCTAATTGAGATCAACTATGATTGAATCACTGTGATTATGGTTATTGTATGGCGAGCTAGAATCAATACAGACAGCCAGTTATGCTTTCTTGACATAAGCTCAAGGAAACAACATAGAACGCTGCCGTGTTAACCTTTGACCGAGAGCATGCACTCCTTTTGTCATACAGGTAATCCTATGACTCACATGCACACTTCTAATGTGTGAATTGTTCTGTGTAATGATGACCATTGCCCTTAGGGTTTTTTTTGGTTTCTCCTGCACATTTGTGATATCTATTCTATATATTGTATGTCTTTTGTTCTACTCTTGCATTGTTTTGTTTTATATATATTTTTCCTCTCGTGCTAATAAATAAATAATTGATATATAAATTGTTTACATATTTTGCTGACTGTTAAAATGCACCAGACAAATAAGCTTTGCTCCTGTAATGTGCTTACATATTTTGTTAATTTAAAATAAAATTTTCTGTTGCTGTGCCAATCCCTTGCCCCTTTAATGCGAAAGTTTCATTTTAATATAAGATTTTGGCTGTTAACATTTTAATATGATAAGGAAGTTACAAGATTTAGTGAAGTTATTTCAATGTATCTATTTTTTGGACATTTTACAGCGCTTAAAAAAATATCGCAATATTATTGTTTACCGTGATAATTTGGTCACTATACTCGAGATATCAAATTTTCCATATCGTTACATCCCTACTATTGACAATGGGAAATTACATGTTTTATACTTCAACTTTAAACTAACAGAGGCGCCTCTACACAAACGTTAGGAATATCCTTTATAATAACTTTTTTCCTTGATATTACATGTCACTATGATCTGATGTTTGGACATGTCATATCTTTGGTGTATAATGTGATTGCTATATTGTCTGTTAAATGAACTTTTCTTCTTGTATGTATTGATATTACATGTCATGATGTTTTTTACCTGATGTTTAGACATGTCATATTCCTGACACATGATGCAAATACTGTTTTAAGTCTTGTTACCTACTTTGTGTCTTGTAGATTTTTATGTTGTATATCTCACAATGTTATCACATGACTTGTCAGGTGATCCTTTTGACATGTGTATATAGAGGTGTGTCCCCTACCAGTCTTTGTCTGATAAAGGGCGTTATCTATTAGTGGTTATCTATTAAACAGCTACAAGAGCTATATCTGGTGTGCGGCCTCTTCATGTAATTTTTATACTTTAACGCACTCCTCCCAGCAACTTGACCTGATCCACCTCTAATGTGCTCAAAAATCCTTAAGACCTTGATGATGGTTCATTGTGAAGAGTTTGCGTCAGTGTTCGTCATTTTGAATGTTTTGCCATAAAACAAAGTTATTATTTAGTTATAGTTATTATAACTTGACAATTCATTGTCAAATCTGCCCCAAATGTATCATGCTTGATAAACGTCCCAGCCTCATGACCTCTGCATGCCGAAATTGAGTTACAGTCATAGTGCCACCTACTAGCAACAGAAAATTATAGGTTTTATACATTCACAAGCTCCTCCTCGAGGTTTGGCCAAACCCATCTTAAACAAATGAGGTGAAAAAAACACTTAGGAGCTTAATGATGCTGTCTTGTGAAGTATGTGAGTTTTCATTCAAGTCCGTTTCCATTTCATCACGGTATTCCCCATGAAACAGGAAGTTGTTGGAACTTGAGTGTGCATTGTCCAATCTCCCCTAAATTTCGGATTTGATAAGACTCCAGGCCTGTTTTAAAGCATGGACCGCGGAACGCATCTGAACAGGGGGGGGCATAATTTCAAGTCACGCGGAGGTACACGCATGAACACGAACACATGCTTGCTCAGATTAACCCCTCTGATCCCACTCTAACATTCACACACAACAGGCCAAGCCTATTTACACATAAACGCACAGATGAAACTATAGCAAACAACAAAGTACATCCAGTCCACAACCACAACCAAAACTCATCATGCTGCCTTGAATCTAAATCAACATCATATTCATTATCATCACAAGTCAGCACTCATATCAGACTGATGTGCAGAGCCGCACGCACACACCCAACAACAAAACAAGCGCAGCTGCGCAGTTACTGAAAAGTAACCAGAACGCTGAATTTCTGACCATTACCGCCCGCAACCGCGATGTGTATGTCCACTCCCGCCCGCTCCCGCAAAACTCTGAGAATTTATGCCTGCACAATAATAGAGATACATTGATTTTGTGTCTTCTCCCGTCGCGCAGGAGAAAACAAGTCATTTTATAGGCTATTAATAAAGAGATTCATGGGGTTGTTTGTTTCGTTTCCCTGGTCTGCATGTCTTTTGACGCACTGGTCAGGAATAGCGCTCCTATTTCGTTGTTTTCATTTAGTTTTTAATGAAATAAAGGCTGTTTCATATTCTGTTCTCCTCCTCTGTATTTATTTATTTTTCTACCTTTATATAATCACGCAGTGATTGAGGTTAAGGCAAGCCCGGCGCCAGGATGAAGTTACTGAGGGGGCGGTTAAAAATTACAAGGGGGCAAATCTTTATTATGCAACATAGGTTCACACAGTGAGTTACGCCGGATTTCCCCAGGATGCGTGTCCGTTGCGGAACGGCAGCGCTGGTTATCCGCTGCATGCTCCCCCGTCCGTCAATACCCACCGGCTGCGTTTGCTGTGCGGAGCGGTGAAGCTCAGCCAGAAGACATCTCAGTGCACTGCCATGATTAATATCTCCTCGTCCATGGTGTCAACGGGGTGAAATGACGTCTGAAAACCTCTGACCTGTTGACTTCAGGCCTGCCTCCGCCCATTATGTAGTTTTCAAGGTGCAGTGCAGGGAAATATAATCCCCCGTGAACACTGTGTATTTTATTTTGAAAATTAACCGGATGTTTTATTGTGTTTCTGTGCACGACTTCCTGCCCCGCAAAAATAGAAGTCCTGCGTATCTGTTGCGGAGGGCTCCGGAACTGAGACGGAGCCGGAACGCAGCACAGCCGCAGCCGGTGGAAACACACACATTGACTAGAATTGAATCCTATCGGCTCCGCTGCCGTGCCGGAGCGGAGACGCAACCAACACGCATCTGGTGGAAATTGGCCGTTATAAAGAACGCGCAGACGAGCGTAATAGTCGCTCGTAATGACAGCTCGTTGCCGGTGAAACACAAACTGCACGTCTTCTTTCATGTTTGTCTCATGGCAGATGGAACTGACACACAGACAGACAGGTGGAGCAAGCGGCAAGCGGCAAATTGGTATGAAAGCTGGTTCAGGGCATATTCGTCCATTTATGAATAAATATGGAGTGGAAACGCTCATGCATGTGCACCAAGTTCCTGTGTTGACATCCTGTCGCTACGCTACATCTTCTTCTTCTTCTTCTCTTTCTTCTTCTTCAACTGTTTAATGGGGACCCGTGGGACCCGGCGGGACCCAATCCCAATGCAGCCCTCTATGTCAGAGTACAAAAGTTACCCGGGCCATGGCGGTTCCGCGGTCTATGTTTTAAAGTATGTACATACAGTCAGGTGCATAATTATTTGGACAATGATACAGTTGTCATCATTTTGGCTCTGTACACCGCCACAATGGGTTTTAAATGAAACAATAAATATCTGCTTAAAGTGCAGACTCTCAGCTTTCATTTAAGGCTTTTTTCAAAAATGTAGTATGAACCATGTAGGAATGACAACCATTTCTTCACACAGTCCCCCAACTTTAAGGGCTCATAAGTATTTGGACAAACTAACATAATCATCAATTAAACAGTCAGTTTTAATACTTGGTTGTAAATCTTTTACAGTCAATGACTGCCTGAAGTGTTGGACACACAGACATCACCAGATGCTGGGTTTCTTCCCTGGTGATGCTCTGCCAGCCCTTTACTGCAGCCGTCTGCACTTCCTGCTTGTGTTTTGGGTGTTTTGCCCTCAGTTTTGGCTTCAGCAAGAGAAACGCATGCTCAATTGGATTCCGGTCAGATGATATGACTTGGCCATTGCAGAACATTCCACTTCTTTGCCTTAAAAATGTCTTCGGTTGCTTTTGCAATATGCTTCAGGTCAATGTCCATCTGCACTGTGAAGCATCGTCCAATGAGTTTTGAAGCATTTAGTTGAATCTGAGCAGATAATGTAGCCCCACCTTTTCAAGCTGGCATATTCAGCCTGATTTAATGGTGACACATGTATAGAAACTTGAAACCAGCAATTTAAAATACACAAAATAGGAGCTGCTGCAACAGGCTGCCGTTCACACAGCACCAGTTCCCGTGTCACGTGACATAGGGAAGTTGAGACGTTACAGCCGAGCTAGCAGGTTTTAAAACAGGAACAGCGGGACAAGCGATGACCAGCACAGCAGAGTGGAATGACGGACAGAAAAAGGAGCGTGGTGTGGTGTTATTTTTCACGGCAAAATGTACAATATGTGATAAGAAGGTTGCACACAGCAGCAACACCAGCAACCTATTTAAACATTTAAAAAGAACACACCCCGAAAGTCACAATGAGATTGAAAAACGACAAGAGGAAGCAGAGAAAGACAGGTCTGCTGCTGCTGCACCACCCGCTGTCCGGCAAAAGACCCTACATGAGAGTTTGCAGAAAGGAAAAGTATATCCAGGTACAGGTGAATTCCTCAACATCGTGACCATAATCTAATGATGTTAGCAGGTGAAGAGGGTAATTTTAATTGGGAGAAATCGCCATGGCACTCCTCTATTTAACATTGTTTTTGGTAATAATCTTGCAAAACTCTAGAATTTGCATATACATTTAGGAGTCCAAACAGTGGATTAAGCCAGGTTGAATTTACTATGAGGATAAATTAGTGGCAAAAGTTTCTGTAGGGAGGATGTGGGTAATTTTGTTTTTTTTATGCCACAAAATAAGTGCTTCTGAAATTTATGGCCCAGAGTATTAGGGGGAAAATATATATATATATATGTGTGTGTGTGTGTGTGTGTGTAGCAGGATGAAGTGCTCTCCCGTGGGTGAGTGTGCTACGTTGCTCTCCCCTACCTTATTAGCCAATCCGCACCTGAGGCCACCTTATTTAGGGAGGCAGTGTCCATCTCGCCTTCCTCTCGCTCTTTGGCTCTGAGGCCCACCCACTTCCAGGTCGCCTCACTTCCTCCTCTTCGCCATCGCCTGTGCAGGTAATGTAGCGGTAGCTGCCTGGTTTTGTTGTTTGCATTGGATTTTGCGGTTGTCACAGTTATGGTTGTGGGCGGACGCTGCGCCTGTGGGGCTGGCTCGCTCGCTGGTAATCTGCCATTCAATGCGCTATTGGTCAGCCGCGTTTGCCACTGCCGCTGGGAGACCTGAAGTGCTCCGACCCTCTCCAGTGTGTGTGCGTCATCGACGCTGCCTGATCGGTATGTAGGGCCCATGTTGGCCAGCCTCTCCGCCTCAGCATTAATCCTTTTAATATTAATCTAGTCTATTTTATATTTTCATTGTAGATGTTAATTGATATGCGGTGTGACGCTGTCTGAAGACCCGCTGCTGCTTTGCTGCATGTTTTGCTTAGTGCGCTGCTCGCATCACTCCTGTGCTGGCTTTAATCTGCTGGGCTCTGCACGTGCTTGCTGTATGCGTATGGCTGGGCTGGATGGGATGTTCTGTGCCCACCGACAGAACTTCTTCCCCCCTATTAGCTCCTCTTTCTTTTGCCTCAGCCCTGATGCAGCATGTGTTGGTTTTGATTTTCTTATGTTGGATTAATTTTTGTTGTTTTGGTTTTGTTTAATCAGATCTTATTTTCTTTTCAGATTAGTAATTAATTACCTTTGATTGACTGTAGCTCCTTTTTTTTCTCTCTTACATTAGGATTACTTTGTGATTTGTTTGGTCAAGGTGCCTGAGTTTTGTAAATTCTGGTAGCTGGACTTTCATCATTTGATTTATTTTGTGTATAAATGTTATTCCTAGTAAATCATTTGTTTTTCCTTTGTTTATTCACTTTTGTTAGCTTATTTTGTTAACCATTAAATTGAGTTATTT